GGCGCAGTCACATTTTCAGTTCTAAATCCACTTCAGGCATCCCTCAAATACAACACATCCCCGCTCAACCGTAAAACCTGGGTTGGATACATTCACATAATAGAGATGCCCTGTCATTTTTCATTCTTGTTTGGCCCAGCCAAATGCCCTATAAAAGCCGGGGCAGGGTAACCGGCGATTTTTCATTTTGTTTGGCATAGCCAAATGCCCTGAAAATTTACAGATGTGTACTTCACATAATACAAAACTTGTGAAAAATAATTCAAAAAATAATAAATTTGTTTAGGCCCCGAAATAAATTTGCGAGGCCAAGGCCCCGATGAGCCCCTTTTTGGCCCTGTCACTTAATACGTCGGCCGCCCTAAGGGAAGGCAGGCTCGACGAGGGCCTGAGGGCCCCTATTTCGGACACCACGCAACTGAGGAAAATTCAGGCAGTTGCGCAGCGCCAGTTGGTTGAGAGCACCCAGGCCCAGGCCGCCTGTTTGCATGTATGGAAGGCAGGCCCTGGGCTGGATACGGGATATGGGCCAAACACATGCCGATGGCAGTTGGGCACAGGTAACCACCACAGGCCCTGGGCCTAATTCGTATTGGAGTGGGCCTCAGCCTACCGGGGCCTACCGGAAGCTTCTTGGGAAAGACCCAGCGCAGCCGCAGGCAGGCCACTTCCATATAGCAAAGGGCCTGCCTCCGTATTGGACATTCGGGCACTGGCTGCTTTGTGCGCAAGCGCTGCTGCGCTATCGCCTGCCAGGCTCACGCGCTCACGGGCGAGCTGGAAGGACCAGGCAGCCATAGCCGAGCTGCTGTGCTGTATGCTGGATGGGGCGCAGGGTAGACCTTGGGTGCATGTGGCATCTGTGAGTTGGGGAACGAGGTTGTGAGTGATACGAGAGACATACCTGGTGCTTGAAGCGTGCGGCATTGGCCTAGATCTGCTCGTACTTCGGGGAGCTGTTGACGTCATCAGCGGCATTGTAGAGTAGGCTAGATAGGATCTGCCATCTGTAGTCTGGGCGCCGAGCGCCAGATAGGATATCAACATTGGTTCTTCGTTGATGATGATGATGAGACTATTCCAGCATTGTCAATTATGAGCTTTTGGTGTGCTCTTATTTGGTAATGCTCTTGGTTCGAGGTCACGACTATCTGGTCTTATGTGTATGATGCTGTTTGATTGCTGAAGTTCGCTATTGCTCATCTTCCTTGCAAATTGAAAACAAAAAGTAAAAAGTGAAAAAAAACAAAATAGTGAGTGGGCGAGCACGTTTCGACAGCCATCTTTGGCGATTTTTAATTTTGTTTTGGCTTAGCAAAAAGACTTCAAAATTTATAGGCATGTACCTCACATCATAGAGAACTCACAAAAAAAAAAGCAGAAAAAAACATTTACTTTTAGGCCCGGAAATAATTTTTGGCAGGGGCCGAACGCCTTCAGATTCGGACCCTGAACGCCCGTACGGATGGAGGTCGGTCCGGGACCTCCGTACGTACGGGTTGGTGACCCTGAACGGGGGTGTTTAAAAAAAAAAAAAGTCATCTGTGTGATCAAGGTGCAAATTGGGTCAATAAAGGGAAACAAAAATTATGGCCATTTTCACTCTTTTCTGAAGTCTTTTCATTTCTCCCCCCCCTTTTTTTTGGCTTTAAGTTGTTTTTTCATGGCTCGTCTTAGGATGATGTGGCAGTCTGCACAAGGCCGAAAAAAAAAAAAAGGATTATGTGGCAGTTCATGGATATGGCATTGCATGTGTATATTGAGCCTCTGACTGAGCATCTTTCGCTATGTTGTGAAGTGGTGCACTGATGAGAGAAAGCACCACGCGGCGGCAGGAGGGAAGGGATGCAAGGGTCAGTGATATCCCCGTCAACATCGCAGGCGCAAGCAGCACAGCGGACACCCGGGGGAGGAGAAGCACGCAACGTGTTGCCATGTAGCGGTTCTCCCACATCTGCTACCCACTCAAGCCAGGGGGGTAACTTGGCGCAATTTCCATCAGCCAGCGGAGTCAGCGGACATGCGCATTACTTGCCCCGCATGTCCGATGGAGTATCGGTGGGGCGTTCGCCGCCGCCTGGAGGTGGACGGGCCACAGTGTCTTCCCCACAAAGCTACACTGTGACATCGTTGAGTGGCGGAGGTGCAGAAGCGCATCAAGCGGCGCAGTCTCAGGCACACAGAGAGAGAGGGGGGGATGGTGTTGGGGCCAGCAATGATGGAGGAGGAGGCAGGGTTGTCACGGCAGCTACCGATTGCGCACGTGTAGGAGGAGGAGGAGGAGGAGGAGGAGGAGGAGGAGGAGAGGGGAGAGGTGGAATGGATGGGGTGGGTGTTGCTGTCGATGGCAGTGGCAGTGGCGACGGTACCCCGCCGCCAATAGTTCGGGGAAGCATGAAAGTGGAACCTGGAGACTCTCCAGGGTTGGTGATGGCAGTAGCAGCTGGAGATTTTGGGAGAGGAGGAG